GAATTCTAAAAAATATTCAAGTAGCCTACAAGAAGGCAAGAAAAGAGAAACAGAAAAATAATAAGAGGAAAAAAACAGAAAACAAATAATAAAATGGCTGAATTAAGTCCTAACATAGCTATAATTACTTTAAATATAAATGGTCTAATTATACAAGTTGAAAGGCAGAGATTGGTATTAAGGATTTAAAAAGAAACATGACCAAATTATATGTTGTCTACAGGAAACTCATTTCAAACATAATGACAGGGGTAGTCTGAAGATAAAAGAATGAAAAAAGATATATTGTGCTAATATTATTTCTTAAAAGCAACATTGGCTATATTACTGTCAGAAAAAGTGGACTTCACAGCAAAGAAAATAATTGGATAGAGGGACATGTCATAATGATAAAAGGATTAATCCACCAAAAAGATATCTGGTATATGCAATGAACAAAAGACATTCAAAATACACAAAGCAGACTAATAGAACTGAAAAGGAGAACGAGAAAAATGCACAATTATAGTTGGGAATCTCTCAGCAATGAAAAGAACTACTAGATAGACAATCAACAACATGTGGAAGAATGGAACAACACCATCAACCAACAGGATGTAACTGACATGTAACTGATATCCAACAACAGCAGAACAGGCATTCTTTCCAAGTGCCCATGGAACACTCACCAAGATACACCATATTTTGGGTTATACAACATATGTAAATGTAAAAGAATTAAAATCATATAGCTTATGTCTTCATTATGGAATAAGGCTAGAAATTAATAATAGAAAGACAATAACAAACACAACAGAAAGACAATAGACAACAGAAAGACAAGACAAATCTCCAAATACTCAGAAACTAAAGAACACATGTCTACATAACCCACAGGTCAAAGAGGAAGTTTCAAAGGAAATTTTAAGAATACAGAAAACTCAGTGAAAATGAAAATACAATATATAAAAATATGTGAGATGCAACAAAAGCAATGTTGAGAGGGAAATCTATAGCACTATATGCTAACATTAGAAATGAGAAAGGTCTCAAATCAATAATGAAGAAACTAGAAAAAAAAGAGTAAAATAAACCTAAAGCAAGCAGAGGAAGAAAATGATAACTATCAGGGCAAAAATCAATAAAATTGGAAGTAGAGAAAAATGAATTAAATAAAGAACTAGTTCTTTGAAAAAGACCAATAAAATCAATAAAATTCCACTGAGAAAGATAAAAAGAGAGAAGGCACAAATTACTAATACCAGGAATGAAACAGGTTTACCACTAAAGACTCTACAGAATAATAGTACACTGATAAAGTAAAAACCAGACAGCACACAAAAAAGAAAACTATATACCAATACCTCTTATATCTATATATTAAAATATTAGCAAAAAGAATCCAGCAATGTATAAAAAGTATTACATACAACAATCAAGTGCGACCTCTTCCAGGTATGGTTAACATTCAAAAATTAATCAGTGTAATCCACCATATCAAAATGCTGAAGAAGAAAAAGCATATGATCATATAAATTAACAAATACAAACAATATGACCCAGCAATTGCATTCTTGGGCATTTATCCAAGAGAAATAAAAACATATTCACACAAAAACTTCAAAGGTTCATAGCAGTTGTAATTATAATAGCCCATAACTGGACACAACCCAAATGTCCTTCAAGTGAATGGTTAAACAAACTGTGGTACAATCATACCACAGAATACTACTCAGCAATAAAAAGAAACAAACTATTGACATACTCACCAACTTGAATGGATCCCAAAGGAATTATGCAAAGTAAAGAAATCTCAAAAAGAGTTATATACTGTATGACTGTGTTTATACTACACTCTTGAAATAGGCAAAACTGTAGAGTTAGAGAACAGACTAGTGGTTGCCAGCGGTTAGGGACTGGGGTGGGATGAGATGGTTGGTTATATGAAGCTATATACATGTATACACACACAAATGAGTGCTTGTGAAATGGGGGAATCTCAGTAAATTCTGTGGATGTAATAATGCCAATTTTCTGATTTAAAAATTGTACTACAGTTATACAAATGCTACCATTGGGGAAGCTTAGTTGAATAGCACATGGAGAGCTCCTTGTACAGTTTTTTGCAACTTCCTGTTAATCTATAATTATTTCAAAATAAGAAAATTAAAACTACACATGTATTTATTTAATTGCAATTGTTGTAAGTGGAATTAAAGAGAAAAACTGGAATCTTACCACGCAGCCCCATGTAAGCTTCAAAACATACAGCTGAAAGTCAACACATAATACAAATGCATGAACAGAACCTTTTTTACAATCTGCTCTAACCATTAAATTTATCTCTATTCCATCTTTCTCCAAATAACATATTGGAGGAAGTAATCATTTTCTATGTTGACTTGATGATCATCTCACCAACTGCACCAAAACCACCTTCTTTTTTGTAGTTCTTTTCATTTGTGAAGTACATTCTCATCTTTCTCATCTAACAATGCCTGCAAAATAGTCAGTCCAACCGTTGTAATATTATTTGTCCAAGGTTATAAGGCTTTTAAATGGCAAAATCAATTCTATAGTCTTCTGACTCCTACTCCAGTATTTTCCAGTCACATATCACTCTGAAATTTTATGCAGTATTATAGAATCCAAAAACATAGCATAATATTGTAGGAGAAGGTCAGAGAAGGAAGGGCATGATGCACATTATACCAAAATGCTGTGTAACAGTCTCTTGATAAGTGGTCACGAGGCCAGCAATTTTACAACTTTTTTTTTCCAACTTTTATATTTAATCTGATTTTGCTATTTTAATGACTGCATACTAATCTCCAGTGAGATTCTTCTCAACCTGTATAACTGGATGAGCTTATATGATGAATATAAAGTCTATCACCCCCACTGAGGAAATATCAAAACTGAAGCACATACTACTCATGATGAACTTGCAGAATTATCTTTTCTCTTTTCTTGAAAAAGGCAAAAAAAAAAAAAAATTTTTTTTTCATAACTCCTCTGGGGATTTTAAGCTACCAACTATTACTTCAAATTGTATTGTAATGACACACAAAATAATTTTCTTAATGTCCCAGAAAGGAGCGATCAGCTTCTGGACATCAGTGAAAACCAAGAATTTTACAAATTTGTATGACCTGCTCTATTTATATATTAAATACGCTCATTAAAAGTGATATACTAATTTTTCTTTAAAGTATACTTAAAGTAGATTTCAGAATTAAATACATTATAATACTACTACAAATGAGAAAATGCTGAAAAGAGGATGGCTTTTAGGAAGAAAAAAAGAAAATCCCCTATTACAAAGGTCTAAGTTATCAAAATAAATACCAATTTTAGAGGAGCACCTACTGTGTTGCTTTGATTGCCCCCCTATATACCTATGCTGGGAAGAGGGGCCTTAGGTCTATAAGCCTTCTTTATCTTTAGGTGGAAAAATGGAAAAAAAAAAAAATCCAAAAGAGACATTCCTATTTATCGTTTCAGAAATAAGTTTAAAAAACAAAACAAAAACCTTCATGAATAAAGATTCCAGAGATTTTCCTAACTTTTCTGGGTTTCTTTTTGCTTTTTGTTATACCTGTCACTTTCACCAGAGGAATTTGCTCTTCGAATGAAAGTGGCTAAGAACTATGGGTCCCGACGTTAGACTATGAACTCTCCAGTGTTGGCATACCAGACACAAAGCAGGTGTCAGGTTACTACTCCTGTGGGAAGAAATGAATTTGTGAATCAAAGAATACATGTCTCATCCTGCCTTGTGTGGAAAAATAAAAAACTCAAGGGTGAGAGTTTACAGTTAAGGCCTCAGGGTGAAGGGTGATTGTAAAGCAGTTTGAGTACCCCAGATGCCCGCAGCAAAGATCTTCTAGAGAGCTGTGGGTATGGGTTTGTCATTCCAAAACAGTTGGCGTTTAATGAGTGCTTACTGTGTGTAAAACACTGTTCGAAGTGCTATATGAATTACCTCAATGAATAAAACAATCTTAACAAATGGATACTAATGTATCCCATTTTACAGATGAGAAAAATTAAGGCACAGACGCCTTCCGTAAAATACCACCATTCAGGGTAAGTGGTAGAGGCAACTGAAAGCCTCAATGGTTTCCTGAACATGCTGCACTCTAAACTCAAGGGACCAAGCTCCGTTCTGACCTTGGTGCCACAGAAAAATAAACATTTTTTAGTTTAGAGAGGGGAGAGAACCTGTGAGCAGGGGGAGGGGCAGAGGGAGAGAGAGACTCTCAAGCAGATTCCGCGCTGAGCTCAGAGCCCCACTCCGGGCTGGATCCCACGACCCTGAGATCATGACCAGAGCTGAAATCAAGAGTGGGCACTCAACCGACTGAGCCACCAAGGCACCCCGATGCCGCAGAAAAATACTTGCGCAACTAAAGCTGAACATCAAGCATGTGGTTAGGGGCGTGTCAAGTTCAAAGATTGGCCCACGAGTCCATTCTCAAGGGTACCTGGTGTAACAAATTTGGGGAAGGAGGCTGATCCTACGGAAAAACCTGAGATCAAACCAAAAGAGCCTTTAATGACCCCGCCGATGGACAAGTGAGGAAACTGAGACGCACGGAGCGAAGACAGTGACTTGTCCAGGGCTAGTTAGAAGGCTTAGTTGGTACAAAAACTCTGATTTTTGGAGTCCCCGGCCCAGACTTTGGCCCCTTCTGGTCACTCCTCCTGGTTAGTTGCCCAATACCCTGGCCCCAACCCCCAAAAGGGTCGTTGTGAGACGCCCGGCCGGCAGGCTAGAGTTAGCAGTACAAATGGCTCGTTACTGCGCCCAGAGGAGCGACTGCTGGGACAGCACCAAAGTGGTTCTGAACCCCGAGCGGTCGCAGCAGGGTTATTCATGCCCTTGCGGGCCGTCTGGCCCAGGGCAGCACGGGCTCTGCGAGGAGCCACACAAAGGAAGGGCTCTAGCTCCCATGTGCCTGCTCGCCCGTCAGCCCTCGCGCAAAGTCATCGGCCCCGAACTGCGAGCAATGCCTCACCTCTCCGCTTACAAAACAACCGGCTCCACCGCACCGCTCCTGCTTTGACGTCACCGGGAGCGGAAGTCCCGCCTACCCTGACGTCACAGCGCAGCGCCGTGCCGCGCTACGGGGAGGCGGTCCGTTTAGACGCGCGACCGGCTCTGGGTTGGAAGGTTTTGAACCTGGCTTGGGGCGTGTGTTCCAGGTCCCGCGAGACCGTTGGGAGGGTGTAGCTGTGCTGGAACTTTCTCTTCCCTTTCATTCGAATGTCTTCCTCCTCTTATTTCAGTCATTCTGATATACTTCTGCTTCCCTTACGCCGTTCTCCGTGCTCATTTTTTCCTAACGCCCATTAATGGTTGCATCTCTTCTTTCCCTTACCCACATACGCAGGACAGTTGGTTATCAGTTGACCTTGTTTATTAGCAGTAATATGGCCAACCTCTGCTACTCCGCATTTTAGCAAAATGTGGAAAATGTCGATTCATCTCGAACTTAATGCACCTAACCTCTGTGAAGACAAAGGTCACCCTGGTCTTGTGAACTGTTCCATTCTCAGCACCTGCCACATAGTAGGTGATCAGTGTTTAGATGTCCAAAAGTGCAGTAGTGAATGTGACATCGTTTTGGAGTTGGGGAAAAGCAGATGAGTAGACTGGCAAACCAGTGAAACTGACTCACAGGTAGGAAAGAAACCTTGATCATTTTGTATTCAACATCTCAGTGATAGGCACCACTCTCCAACCAGTTGTTGGCATAGACTGGTACCTCTTGTTCATTACCTTTCCACTTTTCAGTTTTACTTCCTTAATACAATAGTTAACACGATGAGTTTAGAAAAAGCCTCTCACTGCCTAGGAGCTTTTTTTTTTTTAATGAATTAACTCATTTTTAATCCTCATAGCAGCCTAATGAGGTCAGTATTAACATGTGACCACAGAGTCTGGAAACACAAATACACAAAATAAATGAGTGATTACATTACAATGGCATTACGCGATATGTTCAAGGTATTCTCTCTCATTACTAATGCACAACTCAATGTGTGCATTTCAATGAACATGATTCATTAATGCAGCCCTTCTTTCAATCCTTGCAAGTGCAAGTGCGTTTGTGGTGCACTGCTCAAGTGATTTATGACTCTGATTTCCTTAAAGAAGCCTATGCCAGAAAACCTAACCAAGGGAGTTCAATCATTAAAAAAAAAAAAAAAAAAAATCTATCTTTCCAGACTGATGGCCACTCTATTATTATTCCCATTTTCATCTGCAAGATAAAATAAGGCACAGAGAAATTAACTTGCCCAAGGTCACTTGGCAGAGCTGGATTCTATAACTCTCTCTATATAGTACACCATGCTTGGATGAATTCCCACCACCTCTGCAATTGTTGAAGCACTTACTCTTCTACAAGTGGGTTACTTGAAGAAGCCTCATTGTTTTCTACCTCTTCTCTCCTTGCTGTTTCTGGAATTCCCATGCTCTCTTCAGTAAAGCTTTCATATTTTTGTGCACACTATTCTCTCTGCTGGGGTTCCCTTCCTTATCCCTCCATTCCCCCCTGACTAACTCTAACATATATGCAAGATTCACTTTGGCATGGCAATTCCTGGTGCCCCCAGGTGTGGTGAGGTCCCTCCTTTGTAGTCCTGTATCACATTTGCTTTCTTCTGTGAGGGTGCTTGTTTGTCTCCAGCATCAGACTGTGAGATTCCAGAGGACAAGTACACCTTCCTTCTTTTATCTTTGTATTCCTTAGGTCTAGAAAAGGATCTGAGACATGGTGAGCATTCCATAAGTCTATGTTTAAATGATTCCACTCAAGTGGAGTACAGTGCCCTGTGAGGATCCGTTTGGCATGTGTTCCAGGTAAACTGGTATTTCAGAGTTTTTGTGTGAGTATCTTTTTTCCCCATACTTTTTTCAGGTCTAATTAAGGCAGAGATTGCCCTGAAAATTATGCTCCATACAGTCCTTGAATAAAGACAGTGCTAATGTTCTTGTACATGTATTAATTTATTTGAAGGGCTGGATATTTTGAAATCAAATAATCTTTTCTAGTATTATCCTCCATCAATGCTTCTGAAATTTTAGTGTGCATAAGATTCATCCAGAGAATTTATTAAAACTGAGATTCTGATTTAGTAGGTCTTGGGTGGTCTAGAATTTGCATTTCAAACTCAGATAAAGCTGCTACTATTGCTATTCCTCAGGTCATACTTTTCCTGGCTCTGCATTATATGATGGGCATAGAGACAATGCTTTGTGGGAGGGCGATGGTCTTGACTTATAGTCATTTTTACCTAAGACTATGTATAAGTGTCTTCACTTATAGCATTCACAACAGAAGTTCCACAAAATATTTTTGTGAAATAGATTTGCACCACAGCATTAATTTATCCATTCTTTCAAAAATATATATATTGAGTGCCTACTATGTGCTGGGTATTGTTTCAGGTGCTAGGGACAAAACAGAAAGGTCTTTGCTTTCTTGAAGGACAGCAAACAATATGTGAGAAAGTAAGAAATAAGAAAGTAATAAAAGAAAATTAAATGGTGGGGCACCTGGATGGGTCAGTTAGGTAAGTGTCCAACTCTTGATTTCAGCTCAGATCATGATCTTGGGGTTGTGAATTCAAGCCCTGTGTTGGGCTCTGCACTTTGTGGGAAGTCTGCTTGAGGTTCTCTCTCTCCCCCTCTCCCTCTGTCCTCCCCCCACCCACACTTATGCACACACACACTCTCTCTAAAATAAATAAATAAATTTTAAAAAATAAAAAAGAAAATTAAATGGTAATGTGAAAGAGAGTGGCGCAGTTAGGTTGGGCAGTCAGAGAAACATCTGAGCTGTCCTAAATGGTAAGAAATCAGCCAGAAGATGTAGTGGAAGGTAATTCCTGCATTCCTTCTCATTTCCTGTGCCATTTATTTGTTTATTTATTTAAATTTTATTTATTTATTTGAGAGAGAGAGAGCACATGAGCAGTGGGGAAGGGCAGAGGGAGAGAGAGAAGCAGACTCCCTTCTGAGCAGGGAGCCCGATGCAGGGCTCGATCCTAGGGTTTGGGGATCATGACCTGAGCTGAAGACAGATGCTTAACCAGCTGAGCCACCTAGGTACACCTCTTTATTTATTTAAAAAAATTTTAATTCTAGTGTAGTTAACATGCAGTGTTATATTAGTTTCGGGTGTATGATATAGTGATTCAGTAATTCCACATATTACTCAGCGCTCATCACGGTATATGCCCTCTTAATCCCTGTCACCTATTTCACCTATTCCCCCTCCCCGCCTCCCGTAACCATTTTGGTCTCTACAGTTAAGAGTCTGTTTCTTGGTTTTTTTTTTTTTTTTTTTTGGTCCCTTTGTTCATTTGTTTCTTAAATTGCACACGTGAGCAAAATCATATGGTATTTGTCTTTCTCCGACTGGCTTATTTCGCTTAGCGTCATACTCTCTAGCTCCATCCATGTTGTTGCAAATGGCAAGATTTCATTCTTTTTTATGGCTGAGTAATATTCCATTGTATATATATACCACATCTTCTCTATCCATTCATCTATCGATGGGCACGTGGGCTGCTTCCATTATTTGGCTAGTGTAGATAATGCTGCTATAAACATAGGAGTGCCTGAATCCCTTTGAATTAATGTTTTTGTATTCGTTGGGTAAATACCTAGTAGTGTGATTCCTGGATCATACAGTTCTATTTTTAATTTTTGGAGGAACCTCCATACTGTCCTTTAATACTAGCTGACTTGTATCCTAGAGCACTGTCCTTGATCCACTTCTCTATCCAAACTCTCTCCCCACCCCCACAGCTTTAAATACCATTTATAGATAACTCTCAAAGTCACATCTCCAGCCTAAACTGTTTCCATGGGTTCCAGGCTTATAGATCAGACAGTCTCCCTAACATTTCCACTTGAAAGCCAAATAGGCATCTCAAAGCACACAGAACTATTGATTTCCCACTCCAAGGGCAGGAATGCATCCAGATCTAAGTACAAAGTTGAAACAGGATCTGGAAAAAAAACCAGTTGGGAACCAAGGCAGAATTCTCTCTCCTGCCTTTACTTCTCTCTGGGTATCTGTTTTGTCATCATTCTTTGATCCCTAGGTTCATGACAGAATATGGCTCTTTACGGCTCATGCAATCTATGTTGTAGATTGAGGAGTCATTAGTGCTGTCCAAATAGTTTCTACTTTCTACCGTCTAGGCACTTGCTAGGAATATACTTCCTTTATAGTTCAGGGGAGGGCAGGAGGAGGGGAGTGACTAAGGGGATGTGAGTAGTTCTGTCCAATGAGTTGTGAAGAAAAATGTTATGTCACTTCCAGGTTGAGCAGTTGATTCCTTATGTGAGTTCCTCCAAAGCTTCACTTGTTTCTTTGACAAGGTGATGTCAACATTCAAGATGGTGTCTGTCTTAACAGTCTGTATCCTTGAGTAGCTTCTCTTGTATAAAGCCTACTGATCATCCTGTGATGGACACATGAGAGAAAGAAATACATCTCTATTGTTATTTTTGGTGTCGTTATGGCAGTAAAATGTCGCCTGTGCAGACTGACACACGGGGACAACCACACAGAGAGGCTCTTTCTTCTCTTCTCTTGATTTTAATTCCAAATACTCAGGGGAGATTTTCTGATTGGCTCAGTTTGTGTCTGGTTTCCAGCAGTTATCCAATGATCAATGACCAGGGCCAGGGGTCATACTGTACCTTATACAGAGGGGCCCTCTGCTTCAGTAAAGGGGATCATAGTAAGTAGGCAAATATTCCACAAGGGTGTCTACTGTAAACACAAGGCTATAAAATTAGACCATTGTATACTGATTTAAAAACAGTATATGAAATTGAAGCACTTTAACCTTTACATAAAAATTTTAGACTCTTATTACTCATTCAGTGTTTATTTACCATCTGTTACATTCCAAACTCTTCTAGGCACCAAGGACGCAAAAGCAATCCAGAGAGAAAAACCCTTGCTCTCACAGAAACACAACAAATAAATGAAAATACATTAATATAAAATGATGGGGGAACTGAAAGGGTAAGAATCAAGATAGAGGAGTGCATTGGCTACCTAT